TTAGATTTTAAACTGGAAGGTATCTGGGGATCCCTTAGCCTGATCCCCTAATTTTAAAGACAGGAAATATGCTAAGAGTAGGCAGGGGCTTCCCCAGAATTACTCCCAGATTAGGAATGGCAGGGCTTCGAATATGCCACAAAAGCCCTCTGTGTCATGGGCTTCCCTCCACCATGGGAAATACGGCACTGAAGGGGGCCATACGTCTGCCTTTCATTCGTGCCTCACCATGCAAAATTTTCCCTTTGACCAATAATTCACTCTCACATGTGGAAATCATGACTTTAGAGAGTAACGCCCATGGTAGAAAAAGAGCTCCTCCTGCTTGCTTTTGGTTTCCATTTTCATGCTTTTCCCATCCCTTTATCTTGAGTCCACAAGAATCCTTACATGTTAGCAGAGTCTCTCGAAGACAGCAGATGTTTGGTTTGTGATTTTCCATCCATTCTGCGAATCTGTAACTTTTAACTGGAGCACTTACACCATTTACGTTCAACATTAATATTTGAGATGTGAGACCCATTTCCAATCATCGTGATGACTGTTACCTAGATATGAAGTTTTCTTCACGGGGTTATTATCTTACAGGCCCTGTGAGTGTCATGCTTCCAGGAGGTTCTATTCTGGTGCATATAGACCTTTCGTTTCAAACTGTAGAATTCCTTTTAGTATTAGTTGTAGGGCTGGTCTGGTAGAAAAAGTTCTGTGGATAGATGTGGGAGGTGGTTGTACAATATTGTGAATGTCATTAACACCACTGAACAGTACACTAAAAATAGTTTAGGTAGTAAATTTCATGTTATGTCTATTTTTCCACAATAGAAAAAGTAAGGCCATTTCTTTAAAACACACCTTACACAGTATTGTTTATGTTGACAGCTCCAAGCCATCAGACCTGAGCATAAGCTTTGTACACACAGCATTTTAGCATTTAAACTACATACTGTCTGGAGTGTAAAATGGATACATAGTCTACAGAGTCTCCCAGAAAACACAGGAGAGTGCATGGGAGGAAATTAAAGGTCAGCCACCGTCCTGCCACAGAGGCCTCTGCCTTTCTGGTCTTTCTGCTGTGTCCACTGTCTCCCCATGGGAGCACCTGTTTCTAAAGGCCTCTGTGGGCAACTTGTCTCTTACAATTACTAACCTTTGATCCATTATAACGGGTTTAGAGCCTTATATGGTTTTATCCTCTGATGACAATTAAAAGCTATTAAAGATCTGGTCAGTAGTCTTGTGGAAGGGCAGGAGCACTCGTGTGCTGGTCAGACGGCCCGAAGTTCAAACCCTGCCATCGCTACATAGGCACCATTTGTAAAGCGGGACCATCACATGCAAACTGCAGGTGTATTGTCTTGCTCATCGCCCAGGCTGGAGTGCAGTGGCACGATCTCGGCTCACTGCAAGCTCCGCCCCCCGAGTTCATGCCATTCTCCTGCCTCAGCCTCCTGAGTAGCTGGGACTACAGGAGCCCACCGCCACACCCAGCTAATTTTTTGTATTTTTAGCAGAGATGGGGTTTCACCGTGTTAGCCAGGATGGTCTCCATCTCCTGACCTCGTGATCTGCTCGCCTCGGCCTCCCAAAGTGCTGGGATTACAGGCATGAGCCACCGCACCTGGCCCAGTGTGTTCCTTTTATACCTTTTTAATAACTTCTGTATACATGTGGTATAATTTTATTTTAAATTCTCCCTGAAATATTTTTGAAAGTAGGTTGAGCAAAAAGACAACAAATACTGTGTTACCCAATGTAACAGCCTCCGTCACTTGGACACTTTGTAGGCTGAGAAAGGCCGCGTGGATGGGGCTTTACTTTCCTTCTGACCCAGGAATTATTTGGAGTTGGTCACATCGGTGTTGCTGTCTCGAGCCTCCTTTCCACTCATGTCACCCCTCTTCTCGGAACGCCTTCCCAAGCTCTTTCATTTCACTCCTGCTCATCCACACATCCCAATCCTACGCTGCCTCCTCCAGCAATAATGCCCACCCCGTGCGTGGGCCGATGTCCCCTCTGAGTGCCCCATGCATAGGTCGGTGACCCCTCCAAGTGCCCCGTGCATGGGTCAGCATCCCCTCCGAGTGTCCCTAAGCACCTGTCCTCCCTGCATTGGGACCCTGGGCATGTCTGTCTCCCCCACAGCGTGGTGGCCGTTCCTCGTCTCTCTTTTTCCGCATGCTTAAGACAGGTGCTTATCCAGGGTTTTGAGTCCAAAGCAGCTAGAGTAAACGTTGAGTAAGTCAACCTGACCCCCACTGGGGGAGAAAGGGGGATGCATGAGCGGGGTCCCCAGTTTTAATCCATGTGTGTCTCTAAATACTTCCCTGTCTCCCCCTCTCTCTCTGTCTCTGTCTTCCTATCTCTTTGCTTTTTGTCTCTGTCTCCCTCTGTCACACACACATGTGCCCACATGCCCTCTCCCTCTCCTGGTGCAATGCAGGGGTACCCGGGCGTGGAGCACGGCCCCCAGCCAGGCAGCAGTGGGCAGGGCTCCTGGACGGCTCAGCCATGGCTCCTTCCCTGTGCCTCCCTTTTATCTCAGTGAGATTAATGGCACAGGAGATTTTCCCATTATCTTCCTTTGGGCCTGGATTTTTTCCTGAAATAACCTATGTGTTTCTTCATTTCCTTCTGTGCTAAAATTTATTTGTCACATCCTTAACCATTAACCTCCAATTTGAACAGAAAAAAAAATTATCATGCCTGCTGTCTCTAGAATTTCTCAGAAATCAAAGAAACAGTGCCCAGCCTCAGCCCTTCCCCATTCTTTATAATACCAACAAATGATAATTACCATGTTGGAGCTGGGGCAAAGTGAATCCCAGAGTCTCCTTCACTTACTAAAAATTTTGTTTTCATTGGATATTGTTAGTATTTCTTTCTATCTGGTATTCTTACTGAGCAATATATTTAAAAAATAGTTTATTATCTTCAGAAACAGGTGTGCTGAGGTCCTAAACCTGATTGATTTTGATGCAAAACAAGTACCAGGCTGCAGGTGCCTTACACCATATTAGAAAGAAAGGTTGCTGTGGGAAGGTGGCTCGCTGGCTGGCTGCCACCAGGACTCCCTGCTGGGCAGAAGAGAATGGACTCGCCTTCGCTTCCTGGAATTCAGACAAAACTCGGTGGAGGAGCTGGTGGTCCCTCGGGGCCCACACATCACCTCCCACCTCTCCCCTTGCCGGTGGTTCAGGTTTCACAGAATTTAATTTTCTTGGTCACATCCTCCTTGGGCTGGTAAACATTGTCTTATTAAGGCAAAAAATGTCCTGTTCACACTAGAATCTTGGAGAAGCCGGCCTGTGATTGGCATCCTCCGTCGTCGTCCATGAGGGACTGGTGAGGTTGTTATGGTGTCTCCTGTTCGGGGCACTGTTTTCCCCATTTTTCTGATGAGTCACTGAGACCATGTGTTAAAACACATTCTCACCGTCACGTTCTAAGTGTGATTGGCGATGGAGGCGCGTTTCTCTCCCACGATTTGGTGAGCTCTTGACAGCGAGGACGGTGTGGCGTCCCACCTGTTTCGCGGCACTACTGGGTCAATGTCGAATTGGATTTTTAAAATTAAGAGTAAATAGGCTTTTTATTATCTGTCACCAAATGTTTAAAATATAAAGCCATCCCATTGAAATAATGTTGTATGTGTGAGAGATTTAGATTATAAAAGCTTATTTTGGCTGGGTGTGGTGGTGCACACCTGTAATCCTGGCACTTAGGGAGGCTGAGACAGGAGGATTGCTTGAGCCTGAGAGGTGGAGGTTGCAGTCAGCTGAGATTGTGCTATTGCACTCCATCCTGGGTGACAGAGCAAGACCTTGTCTGAAAAAAGAAAAAGGAAAAAGAAGAAAAGCTTATTTTTTAAAGTCACTAAGTTTTGTTATGTAGCAGTAGATGACTTGTATACTGGATATGATATAAATTAAGATTTTACAATATATTTAAACTTCACTTGAGGAAAAAAGGAGCCACATAGTCACTGTTAATAGAAGGGTGATATTGCTGAGCAGAAGGAAAGGAACTAATTTTAAAAGGCAAACAGCAAACAGGAAATCCACTGGGCCCACGTTGCAGTGGGGTCTGCGGGCTGTTCACAAACCCGTCTCCTTGGGTGCCTGCATGTTCTGGCCTCCCTTACAGCAGATGTGGTGGCAAGAGTGAGTGCCAATCAGACTGAAGGCGGGAACCTGAAAATCTCAAAGTCCTCCGTGCCACCTCTTTCTGTCCATGGGGCACATACTCACACACAGCACATTTGCATATTGAAGATGACAGAGCCTCAAAAACCAAGCTTCCTGGTGACCGTGGGCCTGGAGTCCCAGCGCGGCAGCTGCAAGGCTCTGCCCTCCTTGGTGGCTCTGGAGTTCTCCCTGGGCAGCTTCTTCCAGCCACCAGGAGGGGAGGGAAGCCAGGAACGGCTGTGGGCCCCCAACCACATCAGCGGAAAGCACGGTCGCTGTCCACCACGACCTGCTGGAGCACCCCAGCCATCCTGCCCCACTGAAGTGGAAGGGGCTCTGGTCGGCGCCTGCTCCTGGAAACTGCTCTCCACAAAGGCAGGGTGCCGTGGGTCAATGTAGGATTACGACTATAAATCCCAACGGGCTTTGAAATGTTTCATAAAAGCCAATTTGGATCCTTTAAAGACAAACAGAAGAAAACCCACTCGGGGCTCCAGTCTCTCTGTGCACCCAAGGACGCGTGACACCGGGCAGGGGAGCTGTGGGGTGTGTCCTGACCGTCGTCCCCTCATGACAGGGAAGTGGGAAGAGATGTTCCGTTTTGCTCACAGCAGAAGCCGTCATTTACACACCTTCTCCTGGCACCTGCCTGGGAATTGGAAACGATTTCAGGAGCCTTAATTAATGAAGCATCACAACATGCCCGCAGGCTACGTGAGAGTTATTATCCTGGTTTTGCCAGGAGACAGCCGGATGCGGAGGAGTGCGACTCGCCTTTGAAGGTCACCAGGCGCGTTAATGAAATCCCTGGAAGGGTGTCTGCCAACAATGCTTTTATTTTGGCTTTACCCGCTGTTCATCCAGTGCCTGTAAAGCTTTCCCCTGAGTGTTGATTTTCGGAAGGGTGCTTTGCAGGGTGGAGTCAGGGTGGATGAAATGCAGGCCCCCGGGTTTCTGACTCCCTTTGCGTGGTGCAGGTGGGCTGGGACCCTTGATGACCGAGAGCTTAGAAATCAATGGACATAAATTCAGCACTCTTCTTGAATACATATGATCCGTGTTCTATCATGGGTTCTTTTCTAGAACCTCAATTATAACTCTATAAATGAATTCCAATGAGTGTCTTCAAGAGATTTTCAGTGTTCCTTTAATCTCCATGGCACGCTGGCTGCATGTGCCTTGTAACTTCCAAAAACAAAATGGATCGCGATTGTCCAGATCCAAGGGAGATGTTATCACTGGAGATTTCTTAGCCCTCACATTGTATGTGTGTCTCTAGGAAGCAGAGCCTTGGTGCTCGTGCTGATCTTTGTCACAGCCTAGCTCGCACAGTGTGCATTTTATTAAATTCTTTCTGGAATTCTACATGAATAAATATTTTTCTGGGATAGCATAAAAGCTGCTTTCATGACCTATGCAAAGTCTTACTGAACGTGGGATTTTGACACATCCTGGGAACAGAGAACACAGCCCTTTCCTCCCCACTTTGCAAAGGAGGCACTTAAAGCATCAAAGGCCCTTTGGGTTCCTTTGTGGGAAATGTGGCACGTGAGTCCCTGAACGTGACGCTGACGTGCGGACGGTGTGGCAGGTGCACGGCCACACCAGAGCTGCCCCCGAGCCATGCAGGGCAGTGCTGTGGAGGGGATGTTTCATGCGGGGCTCAGAGAGGCTGGGCCTGGAATCCTGAGTCTGTGGAGGCTGCGTGACACTGGGGTGGGGTGGAGGTCATTCAATCCCAAGGCAGAGTTGAGCGTCCCGGATAATGGGAACTGGAGATGCAAGGGCCTGTGCTAAGGATGGAACTCCAGGAGAGCTGGAAAAGCCTCGGATCACGCCTGGCATAGCGCAGGTTCCTGGCAAACGCTGTTCCTTTTCTCCCTCTTTGCTGCACGGTTTTCATGAACGTGGGGAGAGGAAAGATGTCTTCACAGCAATGCGGGAAGAACACAGTCAGAGCGATGAGAATGACACGGACCTCCAGGTACTGAGTTTACCCCCAGTCTCCTGCGGAAGGCATGCATTCGTATCCACAAATAAATCTTAACATTTCCATGTAAACGTACGTCAGAAAAACACGTCTCCCCTGCTGTTTAGGATGAGAATGTTCTAGAGTCTAGAGGTTGTTGGCCATCTCTCTAAGAACCAGCACTTCAGTGAGAGTTTTAAATCATGTATTTCACTTGGTGAGAAACGTGGCATGCGTGAACAGACACCACGTGAGACAGGAGAAACGTGGCACGTGTGAACAGACACCATGTGAGATAGGGAGGATTCAGGACGTGATCTTATTTCAGCATCTATATAAAGGATCAAGTAAAAGTCATATAATTGAAGTTATCTAAACCCCCCACACACCAAATGCGCCCACTTTCTGGTCCGTCTGTCTTGCAGCCTAGAGAGGCCGCATCCTTCCATGCGATGGCCCCGGGCCTGGCACTGTCGCTGTCCCTCGGTGGAGATACCAGGAAGCCCTGGATCACCATGTGACACGTTCTGTACTGAGGTATAAATATGGTTTTATGGGGACACACAGGAGGGAGCTGAGTGTGCTCCTGTGGCCCTGGAGAGCGCTGAGAGGCAGTGCACCCTGCAGAAGCATGGCAGGCACTGAGCATGGGGGACGCCTCAGCGGGCACCTCAGCCACAGTCCTGCCTGTCCACGTGCCCTGCAGAAGCATGGCTGGTGCTAAGCATGGGGTTACCTCAGCGGGCACCTCAGCCACAGTCCTGCCTGTCCACACACCCTGCAGAAGCGTGGCTGGTGCTAAGCACGGGGGACACCGCAGCAGGCACCTCGGCCACAGTCCTACCCGCCATGCGCCCTGCAGGAGTGTGACAGGCACTGAGCACAGGGGACGCCTCAGCGGGCACCTTGGCCACAGTAGATGCCTAGGGCCCCAGGACAAGCATTCGTGTGCGGCAGAGGGGGTAACTAGAATTTACAAAAGGGCAAGACAATCCCCTTATTAAAAATTTAAAATAAAGGCTTCCATTTGCAAAGACTGTCTTGAGAGGCAATATGATGCTGGCCGTGGCTAGCTCATGAAAAGGTGGTGGTGATTCGAATGTCCTAGCGAGCTCCCAGGGGCAGTAACACAGGCCTGAGGCAGGAACGGGGGGAGAGCCTCTTCCCAGGGCTGGGTCGAGCTGTGGCACTCGTGTCTCTCTCAGTGATTCATGCTGAATGACCCAGAGGGGACCCAAGCAAAGGTGGGCAAAGGCTGTTACTGCCCTCTAGACCAGTGCTGCCGGCAGAACATGGGAGCCTCGTGGGTAGCTTTTAATTTGGATTACTGACATGTGAATGTGTACGGTACAAAGAAGTAGGCAAAATTAAGTTTGGTTTTGACCAAATGCAAGATGGCATTTCAGGGGCTCAGAGTGGTGGTGGGTAGCAAGGAGGGCAGCACAGCTCTGGGCTCTGCAGTGGGTGCCCATCCTGACCGTCCACAGAGGCCCCCACCCGAGGCCACCCAGGGTGCTGCACGGATGGTCTGTCTGGCCTCCCTGGATTTTCAGTGGTGTCTCCACCATACAAGTGAATAAACAAGTGTGAAATCCGGAAACAGAGTCTCATGGCCCTTCTTTCACATGTGGATTTCATCTAATGTTTTTCCATAAAATTGTGAGGATGCTTAATAATACTCTTTGTGATACTCTTAGGAATCTTAGGAACGCCAGGTTGCATGAGGTGAGCATAAATGCATATGGAGGAACAGCCCTTGCCAACAGAAACACGGTTTTCAGAATTCGATTGCACCTTCAGCTCAGTAACTAGCAGATTCGTTCCTGCTGGGACATTCATTTTAAAAGCTTGTCTTCTGATGTTGGCTGCAAATTAGAAGCAATAATGCTATTCCCTATCTAATATTTTTCAGTTATGTTTTTAAAGTACTGTGAGCTCCTCAGAATAAAACCAAATGATATCATAATTATTATCATCTACAATTCCCACGGGGCTGCACTTTTAAAGGAGGTCAAGGGTAGATCTGAAGCAACTTTCTTATGTAAGGAAAATTTGAAAATCAACCCAAATGACTTCGTCTTAATCTGCTGGAACTTCCACAACAAAACACCACCGACTGAGCAGCTTAAGCAACAGAAATTAATTTTCTCACCGTTCCGGAGGCTGATCAAGGCGTGGGCAGACCCGGCTCCTGGGGAGGGCCTCTTCCTGGCTGCCTGCTCGCCGTGTCCTCAGGGAGACAGGCTGGTGTCTCTTCCTGAAAGATCCTGATCCATTCAGATCAGAGTCCCCGTCTCGCTACCTTGGTTTACCTTCGTTACTTCCTCACACCAAACGCAGCCACGCTGGGTGTTAGGGTTCAGCATAGGGATTTGTCGGGAAACCAAATTCAGCCCTTAGCAATATTAAAAGCTGATAGCACCCTTACATGTGTGGGTGTCTGTGTGCAAAGTGTGCATATGTGTACAGTGTGTAGATGCACACACACACATACACACACATATACGTGGGCTGGCCCCTGGAGTGGGTAATTGGACCCTGCAGGGGACTGAGGGGAAGGGTAGGAAGGGGGGCCCTGGACTGGATTTGACCAGACGCGTTTTCTCTCCCTACACTGGCATTTGTTTGCACGGCTGAAATGCGGCTCTGCCCGCCCCAGATGCATAACAGGAGTTGAATGCCATCTTTCCTCTGCGAAGCACCTGGGGACATAGAGCCGTGCTCAGTACCTATCAAGCACTGACCATCCCCCTTGTCCCTGTTCCTGACGCGAAGCAGACCCTGCCGGGTGTGGGGTCAGCACAAATTGGAGTTGGTGGCGAGGGGGCCAGTTTTTGGTGAGAACCCAGAGTCCAGCTTTGAGGTTCACCTGCCCAGCGTCTAAGCTGCAGCTTCCTGGACGTCGGCCTAGGAGATGGGGACAGCGGCATCCCTCATGTTTTCTGAGACTGCACCATGAACAGGACAGGCCCCACATCCAGGGACACAGCACAGGAACAGCGAGAGCAGCCCCTGAAATAAGTGTGTGCAGCGTGTTGCAGTTCTCTTCATTTTCTATGTATGATTTCATCCTTATCTTATTATCTAAGCGAATATTTCCAGCCAGCGAGGCCGGGTAGATAAACCCTAGAGCCTGCTGCGTGAACTGAGCTCAGCATCCTCCCTGCAGCTCGGCGTCCACTCTGCGCTTGTCTGGTGGGGCTCAGCACCCTCACCTGTGGGAAGCGGCCCTGCCTGGCCCCATGTGGCTTCCAGCTCCTGGCTGTGCGGCCTCTGCAGCTGAGTAACAGAGCTGCCCACCCCCCTACCCTCCTCTGGCCATGGAAGAGGCCAGGCCGTTTCTCACAGGTAGCGTGGCAGTGTCCCATGGCTAGCCAAGCCCTTCTGGCTCCCCCAGGGCTGCAGGTCCTCTGAGCTTGAGGTCTTTCTCCAATCAATACCTGACATGGGAGCTAGACCTGAGCCCTCCTGCAGGACTCTGTCCTGACAGCAGCATATCCTGCCCCTTCCATGGAAACTGCTGTCTTCTCCCCTAGAGGCCTCCGCCTGGACATCATGCCCCGAGCTCCGGGGCCTAGGAGGCACAGGAAAAGCTCATCTCTGCTGCAAGCTCTGTTCTCAATAGCAACTGATCGGTTTTGAAATTTAGGACACCCTCCAACCTCCACTTTTTTTTTTTTCTTAAAGTGTTTTTTTGAAGATGATCAGCTCAAGGTAGGTCTGAGGCTCATGCTGGACATTGAGTACGTGACACCCAAGCTTTCACTGTTTTTCTTGCTGTCGCTATCCTGATGGTCCCGATCCTGCCCATGTATGGGCGTCCCTGCCTGATGGATGCTAGGAGAGGGTGGAGGATAAGGAAGGGCCCAACATAAGCTTCACATTTTACACATAAACAAGGCGGAGATGATTCCAGGTTGGGATGAGTCCTGCAGAGGATGTCAGGAGGCCTCTGATGTTTGAAGGAGGCTCTGGGCTTGTTCTTGCCACAGTGCCCCTCTCTTCCCACGGCAGCAGAGCCATGGCCGGTTCCATTTCCTCATTCCTCAGGGAAGGGCTGTGACCACAGCAGAGACAGTGGTGGGAGGCCCCCTCAACGCAACACAAGGTTTATGCCAAGGTCCCGCTGTTCACAGCTCTAATTCAGGTGTTTTCCAAAACCTCAGGCTGTAACTCGCCTCCTTCTGCTGTGCCTTTGGTAGATTCAGAAAAACATGCATGTCCTTGGAGACTCCATCGCTGCAGGAATCATTTCTTAGCTGTCGGCCGCAGGCTGCGAGGATGGACCTTCGTAAGGACACAGATGGTTGGATGTTCCTGGACTCCACCTCACAGGGGAGTGAGTGTCCTTGGAAGAGGAAAAAGCCAATGAACAAAAAGGAGAAGGGGGCCGGGCACGGTGGCTCATGCCTTTAATCCCAGCACTTTGGAAGGCTGAGGCGGGCGGATCACAAGGTTGGGAGATCAAGACCATCCTGGCTAACACAGTGAAACCCCATCTCTACTAAAAATACAAAAAAATTAGCTGGGCGTGGTGGTGGCACCTGTAGTGCCAACTACTCAGGAAGCTGAGACAGGAGAATCACTTGAACCTGGGAGGCGGAGGTTGCAGTGAGCCTAAATGACGCCATTGCACTCCAGCCTGTGCAACAGAGTGAAACTCCATATCGAAAGAAAAGAAAAAGGAGGAAGGGGAAGAGGAGTGTTTTCCTCCAAGATTTCCCATGGAAGGGAAGGAGCTCTGACCTGGAAATAAGATCTGAGCTTCACAGACCCTGCTGGGCTGTGCACTGCCCTGGTCTTATGCATTAGCTTTAATGGGTTATTTATTTTTTAAAGGTGTAACCCTCTGTGAATGGAGAATAAGTAGAAAGCCCTCCGTCCATGCCTCTGAACACACTCCTAACTCCCCAACACTCAGGAGTCCGCAGGAAGCCCTAAGGCCCAGGGTCTCCTTGGGAGGAGTGGATGCCTCCTCCCTGGTGTTTTTTCCTCTGGTCTCTGGGGTTTTGCTTCTCACAGGGGCTAAATTAGTCCTGCATCTGGTGCTCGCCCAACACTGCGTTGTGCTGAGGAGAAGGCGGGACTCTCAGGAGGCACCCTGCAGGCCTGGCTGGCCTGCCCCTGAGCGGAGCCCAGGAGGTGGAGGGAGATGGGGTTTTGAGGCCATTTGCCTCCCTCGTAAATGGAGCTGCTGATGCACTCTCACAGAAGGGAAGAGGTAATTTTTCCATTTGTGAGGAGAGTGCAGACCCTAGAAGGCTGCTTAGCCACTCAACCTCTCCCAGACAGCTCATTTCTCAGACTGCAAAGGTCAGCAGCAGAATCAGGGCAGAGGGGTTTTACTGCATTCTTCAGTGCAGAGGCCATTTTAATATTCATGAAATTGCAACTGAAACCACTGGAAGGTTTCATAAGAGCAGGCCAGAGTGTCCTTGAAAGGAACTAAGAGATGACAGATTTTGTGTCCACACTGGACTCTTCCTCAAGGAGCCCTGGGCATGGGCTACGGAGACACAGGACACCGGCCACTGTGGCTCCATACCCAGGGTGGCAGGTGCAGCCAGCCCTGATGATGAAGACGACATGGATCTCTCACTCTGGAAGCCCTTGCACCTGACAGAACGAGGAGGAATTTCAAGTGCCCAGGTTTCACGTATAGAGAAAGTTGTACACGAGATTTTAAAAAGAATGACAACCCACCTGTTCCAAAAACAGGCACTAAACACTGACAGCAAAGGCGGGAGATGTAAGGAAAATAGCTTCCATAATGATTTGTGGGCAACAACATTGGGTCTTAATGCAGTTTTGTTTTAAAAGAAGAAAGTAGGATAAGAAAAAAGATGGGTGCAGTTGTTCTTAATCCAATAATAATTAAATTGATATGGTTGTACCTTAAGGATAAATACAGTGTGGAAGTACTTCTGATGGAGTGGGAGGAGAGAGAATGAAGGAAGATGATCGATAAAAGCAAGAAGGGTAATTTATCGAAAGCTAAGTACCCCTTGCTACATGAACATTTTGGGGTCCTGTACTTATAAATCCGTATTTTGTGGATCACCATCAATTATAATAAATGCTAAGCACCCCTCAGTACTGCACAGGATAAGCTGAAAAGCACAATCTGTGTTCTCTGCAATCGCACTTGACATAATCGTCTGTCATTCATATATATAGCGCATAAGGTAATAATCATATATATACCCAGCTGAAGTAACACAGATATGAGTTGGACAAATACAGCTAAGAATAACTGTGCAGGAGGTGTCACATTTGGTTTCCACCTTTGTAGGGGCTGGCAGGTGACCCCACCTGGAAGTTATCCCAGGAATATCTCTCGGGAGCATCAGAGTGGCCTGGGTAAAAAGCTTGCTCCGCCACTTCCCATTCAGTGACCTAAGCAAGTGACTTCTTGACTCTGAGTTTAGCTTCCTTCTTTAAAAAATGAAAGTAGCATCTCTCAATGTTAGGGAGTTGTGAAAATGAGAGACAGCATATGTGAGGTGTTCGGCCTTCCACAGGTCCCCATCTTTAGTGGCTGTTGTTTCTGGGATTTTGTGGGGCTACTGAAGTTATGATCTTCAGCATTATTTTGTTTGGTTTAGATAATTCATATGTTTATTTTTCATTTGGCTTAAAAGAAATTAGTCCTTACAGTTTTCATGAGATGTAAACCCCTTACAGTCATCCCTGGGTGTCTATAAGGACTTTATTTATACATTTTTGTGTTTTTCTGTTCTGTCTGTGTAAGGACGAATGCAGGGTCCTCATCTTTGCGTCACCCAACTTGAAACTCAGGCCAGAGAAATTAGGGACATTGTTTGAAACACTGCAGGCCTCCAGCAACCTGCCAGGACAAAAATTACCCTGAAAACATACCGTAAACACTGCAGGCCTCCGGCAACCTGCTGGGACAAAAATTACACTGAAAACATACCATATACCACCTAAAGCCTGGGAGCAGAAGCTGGGAGAGTTCCTTCAGTAACATCAGGACATTCGAGATCACCTGTGTAACCACAGCTACCACCCCACTCAACAGCAGATGATTGAAAGTTCTTCCTGTAAGGTCAGGAACAAGGCAAGTGTGCCCTTGCCTGCCCTCTACTTATGTGCTTTTATAAATGGGATTGTTTTCTTATTTTCCTTTTATACTGTTCATTCTGATAGTATAGGGAACACCTACTAATTTTTGCATGTAATTTTGTATCCAGACACTTTGCTGAATTCCTTTTATAGAACAGGAAATGCCACTTCTATTCATCATAGTAGAAGTCCTAGATAGATAAATTGGGCAAAAAAAGAGAAAAAATAGAAAATCATCCAAATTGGAATGAAGTAAAATTATTATTTGCAGATGACATAATCTTATATTAGAAAACTGTAAAGATTCCCACACACATACAAAAGGTTATAAAAAAGGAATTCAGCAAAGTGTCTGCATACAAAATTAACACACAAAAATCAGTAGTGTTTCCATATACTATCAGAATGAACAATTTAAAAAGAAGTAAATAATTGCATTTATAATAGCATTAAAAAAATTCTTAGAAATAAGCTTAACTAAGGAGGAGACAGACTGTATGCTGAAAACTATAAACTGTTGCTATAAGACATTAAAGACACTAATGAATGGAAAGACGGCTGTGTTCATGGATTGAAAGGCTTACTATTGTTAAGATGTCAGAACTACTAATAGTGGGTTTTTGAGAAATAGAAAAATCCACCCTAAAATTTATATGAAATTGCAAGGGATCCCAAATACTCAAAACAATCTTGAAAAATGAGAACTAAATTGGAGTCTCACACTTCCTGATTTCAAAACTTACTACAGAGCTATGATAAGCAAAATAGTGTGGTAAGTGCTGGTATAATCACAGACATCTAGACCAATGGAACAGAATAGAGAGTCCAGAAATAAACCCTGGTGTATATTGTCAAATAATTTCTGACAAGGGTGCCAAGATCATTCAATGGAGAAAGAACAGTTTTTTCAATAAATTATGTTGGAGAAACTGGGTAGCAACATATAAATAATGAAGTTGAACTTGTACCTTATACCACGTACAAACAATACTCACAGATAAAAGACCTAAACATAAGAGCTAAACCTATAAGACTCTCAGAAGAAAACAGAGAGGATAAGCTTTATGACATTGGACTTGACAGTGATCTTGGATACCAAAAGTACAAGCAACCGAAGAATAGACACATAATTTAGATGTCATAAGAATTCAAGCTTGTGTCCATTAAAGGACACTTTCAGCTGAATGAAAGGGATGGAGTGGGAGTAGATATCAAATCATATATCAAAATTCAAATCGTATATCGATCTGAAAATGGACTGAGATCTACACTAAATAACTACAACTCAACAGCAAAATAATCTGATTCAAAAATGGGCGAAGGACTTGGATATTTCTCTAAGAAGATTTACAAATGACCAATAAGCACAGCAACATCACTAATTATTAAGGCAATACAAAGCTAAACCACAAGGAAATGTCAACACACATTAGAGTGGTCATTGTAAAACAACAACAACAGAAAGAAGAGAACAGGTGTTGGCAAGGATGTGGAGAAGTTAGAAACCTTGTGCATTTCTGGTGAGAATATAAAAAGATGTTCCCATCATGGAAAATGATATGGTGAGTCCTCAAAAAATAAACATGGAATTTTCCTATGCTCCAGAAATTTCACTCTGGCCGTACACCCAAAAGAAGTGGAAGCAGGGCTCAGATAATCGTATATTCACGTTCAAGCAGTAGTAGTTACAGTAGCAAAGGTGGAAGCAGCCCGTGTGTACAACAGACACGTGAATGGATGGATAAGCAAAATGGCGCCTAGACGGGTCAAAGAAGAACATTTAGCCTTAAAAAGAAAGGAGATTCTGACACATGGCACAATATAGATGAACCCTGAAGACATTCTACCAAGTGAAATTCTCCAGTCACAAAAAGAGAGTGACTGTGATTCCACTCACATGAGGTACGAAAGCAGTCAGATTCATAAAGACAAAGTAGAAAGGAGGCTGCTGGGGACTTGGGGCTGGAGAGAAGAAGAACTAGGTAGTTAGAAATGGGCACAGAGTTTCAGATGAGGAAAAGGACACGTTTTGGAGATGA